ACATATACACATATACAGGTCCTTCTCAAAAAATTAGCATATTGTGATAAAGGTCATTATTTTCCATAATGTAATGATAAAAATGAAACTTTTATATTTCAGATTCATTGCACACCAACTGAAATATTTCAGGTCTTTAATTGTTTTAATACTCATGATTATGGCATACGCGGAGCCCCCAGAGCCACCCACACAGGACGAACCACTCACCCACCCCCCAGATCGGACCACAGGGGAGAGCCGGAAGATCCCCACCAGCGACCACATACAGTGACCCCCCGGGGCCAACAGCGACAAACTCATAGGCCCCCGCCGGAACCCGCCGCACCGATGCAGGTCCAGGCCCGGGCACCGAGGCCCGGGCACCGAGGACTCACACCACCCAGGCCATGGCCTGACAGGGCCAGAGGACCCGAGCCCCACCAGGCAGACACCAGGCTGAGCCGACACGCGCCCAGCCCCGGACACCAATGGCCCCAAGCGCGCCGGCAGGCAAGGGCACACCCCACCAGGGGGCTGCGCGATAGGGGCGCGATGCCAAGCACCCCCAGTTGTATCAAAGAGGGGGCAGTCCGAGTCTCGGCCTAACAAATACCCATTCATACACAGGCACAATCACACAGTCCCAGCCTCATTCTCACACTCACTCACTCAAAGACATACAATAACGATACATTTCATTCTTATTCCCGATACGCACTCTATACCCCCCAGGTCCAAGACATGTACCCGCCCTCTACAAGGGGCAGCCCATGCCCAAACCCTGGAGGTAGACCCATTCATTCTCGAGCGGAGAGGAGCCAATATCCCAGACCCGGCCCAGGCCACGCCCAGCCGACAGGACACCCCCCCGGCACGAAGAGGTCACGCCACCGACCACCCCCACACACCGCCAACAACCAAACACGCGCCCCCAGCCGACCGCCCGCCAGGCCCCGGCAGCAACCCCGGCCAGCAGGCCAACCATGGCACCCAAGAGCCAAGCTCAGGGGGTACAAACAACCCCAGGGAGAGCACAGCGCCAGCACCGCCCACGGCAATCCCCCAGACCCCGAACCCCCACATAGTCCTGGTCAACACCCGACGGCCTGCCCTTTTCCCGGACCCCACCCACGGAATGGCAGTTAGAGAACTAGGGGAGTGAGGAAAAAAAAAAAAAAAAAAAAGAATAAGACCCCGACACATACACCCCCACCCCTAGATGTGCTGTTGATGTGTGTTGTTGTATAGTGCCATTAAAAAGGAAAGAAGAAGGAGCAAAGGCTGGCATGATGCCAGTTTCCCCTCCACCCCAACTCTATCCAAACCCTAGTCTCTAAATGCAACCGTTGTAAGTGAGCACAGGCACAGGGGGTGAGAGTAAGGTCATCCCACCACCCATAGCCATGTGCCCACCTCAAGTTCCTATATGTGAATGTCATGAGGATGTTATGAATGAATGTCTAAGGTGTACAATAAAATTGAGTCCCAGGTGGCTATGGTCAACAGAGATGTAAAATTGTTGCAGCACACCCGAGCCCAAACAACCCTAAATGTGTGGAATTGAAATGAAGAGGGTGGAGGTGCATGGTGAGGGATGGGGAGAAATATAACTGTGAGAGCAAATGCTCCCACAGGGAGTCAGCTCCCCCACTGACCCA